ATTCTGTAGCAGCCGGATCTCGATAATGGGTCATATTTCTTGATGGCATAATAGAAGAAAGGGTGAGTCTTTCTTTAAACACTGCTTTAATGCCCCACTTATTTACTAATTCGCCTATCTTTTTTGAAAGAAGGAATGACGGCAAAATTAAGACATGTGAAAAGGTCTCAGTCTGTCTATCTTTGACCAAATGGTCTCCGTCTGAAAATGTATTCCTCAGTAGAGAGATATTATTGTCAATAGAGCCTAAAGGATAATTATTTTCCAGGAATATATTTGTCAGCCGTTCCAGCTCTTTAGTCAAATGTTTGCTATAAGCTAGCCTCATACTTCTAGGAATCATTGACTTACAAATTTCAACCTTAGTCTTGTAACTATGGTTAGAAAGAAAATTAAGCAGAGCCAACATATGTTGGCTTCCTATAAACATCTCTTCCTAACTTACCCTTTTCTCTAATGATGAGAATATCCAGAAGGGGTAAGGACTTATTCTCTTCCATTTCCATCGTGAACCTAATGTTCCTTTCACGCTGGTTGAGTGAATGTAGGAAACTATATCAATTTTTCTTAGAATGAGTCCAGATAACAAAATAGTCATTCATGTATCTAACCCACAACATGGGGGTTAGCTTTGCCTCTTGTAGGAAGTATTACTTCAATCTTGCCATATAATTGTTCGCTAAGATGGGAGAAAGGTAAGATCGCATCGGTAATCCTTGTGTTTGTTCGTATAACTTAAATTCGAAGATAAAATATGTGGTACTCATGGATAGGTTAATAAGTCAAATAATGGAAGCTGCACTCAGCCTTATTCCTTGTGTTATATCTGGATGCTCCTCCAGAGTTTGTATCAGAGCTTGAATAGCTTCTTGAACAGAAATGTTTGTGTACATAGACACAACATAAAAACTTACTAGCCTAACCTCTTCTGAAAGTGTCTGCTGCTCAATCAATTTTACAAAATCATACGAATTTGTAACTGAATATAGCCAAAAATTAGCAGAGTTCCTTAGTTGTATGCATAAAAAACGTGAGATTTTATGCATCACGCTTCCTCCATTATTTACAATTTATGTTGGAGGGACGTCGTTCTTGTGATCCATAGGGAGAACGTAAGCCCTAGGGGCCCTTGCATCTCTCTGGAGTAGTGAATTTATTTTCCACTTCCTCATTTCACCATTACTTACACATACCTTAATTGAGTCTATATAGGAGGTAAGATAGAGCTGGATAGTCATCTTGGCCTAGCGCTAACATGAGACTTGTACAGGAATGAGACCCAGCTCGAATGAAGTCCATCATTTGATGGACGAAAGTTCAGCCCGTTTTCACACGAAATGAGGAAGGAAGTCTCGCAGATTGCGTCAACCTGAACATATTATAAAAACCAAACAGCTGCAGTACAACGGGATTCATCCGTCCACTTCTGGTGAGATCGACCTACAAATCTCTTCTTTATGCACTATCATACAAAATTAAAGTCCCCTAAACAATTTTATCTCAGGAGATTCATCAAAACCCAGTTTCTCTTCGTATCTAACATATTTTAGGTAGGCCGTTAGAAATAACTTTGCTATCGTTAATGCAAACTCTGAGCAAACGAGGATACGGCAAGATCAACAAAAAGAAAGTGCCTGGATCAAGGAGTTATGTTATCTAGAGAAAAATGGATCACAAAAATGATGCGGATAAGTAACATTCTGAATCCAGGAGAATAGCTTTAGTATGTGCATCTGCTTAAGAAAACATCCACAATTTTGGAGGCCTAGTGCTCACAGAATTAGGGAGACAAATAATCACAAATATCACAGTAATTCGGCATTACGGCTAGCAGCTCAGAGCTAATTTAACTAGAAATCCTTTCGAGATACAGCAAGTTTGCTTAGGGTACACAACCTGTGGAGACAATACCTGAAATATGCAAGCATGAGAATCAGAGCATAGGTGTTCTGTTCGGGGATGCCGCAGTATGCTTGCTACCGAAAGTTCTTGGCGGACCATGAGAAATAGCGCTTTGAGTAAAAAGAATATAGTGACTTGAACCGAGTGGAATCAATCAACCAGGAAGGATATAAATGTATCTCCGAGATCATGAGGGAGATTGAGATGGAAAGTCCAGATGAGATCAGCAACTAAAGCAAATAGAGAGGAAGAGGGGCAAAGTAAGCAAGCAAGCATGATAAAGCCCTACTAGGCTCGCTAAAAAAGGGCACATCTCTTGAAGAAATGAATATAAATAAATCTGAAGTGAAATATGAGGATTGTGAGTAGATAGATGTACCAGGACAGGAGAGTGATAGCACGACCATTGGGCAGAAAGTTGCTCAAGGGATTGACTTCACATGTCGCTTTGACGAGTTGTAATTTGGTGTTAGGAGCGATAAGACTGATAATCAGGTCGACTACTGTGCCAGAGAAACGTATAGGTATGCACTGAATCCTCGGTCTAACGTCGGGAAGTATCATACATACTATAACAAGGTTCCTCCAACCAAGTCGCCCTGGCAACGCGACCAAGTTATGAAAGCTTCTATACAGCGAAAGGAGATTAAGACCAAAGTAAAGGCCACAACCATTTGGACTTCTCTAGAATGTTTCAGGACCTCTTACTCAAATTTTGTATGCAAACAGGTTCCTACTGTACATTGCCAAAAAAATTTACCTTCCGTATCGAGCTGAGGGAGCAGTCCCACTTCGGAATATTCTCGGAGCATTCAGTCTCCTCCTGATTCTCAAACAACGCCGAACCTGCTGTCTTGGCTTTGGTGTTGGTAAAGAGTGAAGTATATGACACATTCAATTCCTCCAAAACGTTTGAGTGATAGTGCATCTGAATAAGAAAGTATGAGAAAAAGGTAATTTTTTGCAGAAATAAAGTAGCTTTACTCAACAGAATTCCAATTTTAATCGGAAGTTATATTGCCTTGTTATACATATACTTTATATGTCTACAATAAAAGCGCCGAGTTACGGCTGACAATATATTAGCATTAACTCTATTAAGCCTTTAATATTAACTGCTACAGGGCAAGACTCTCTGATTTCAAATGTTCAGCTATTATGTCAAAACTGCACGGCACCCAGCATCAAGATGATCTAAAGAGTATAGTCCCCCAAAGAATTAATGAAAATTAATTTTCGATGTCCTTAGGTTCTTATCCAAGAACGAAGATAAATATGAGCAAATGCAAACTCTACAGCAAAATTCATTTTATATAGATAATTTTACCTAGCAACATGCCCAAAATTTAACATTATTTGTGTCGAAACCCATTTAATCCCACTTCCAATCTTCCTAGCAGGCCACATGCCATACTGTTTCACTAACAAGTTGTAAAATAACGTTGTCTTAAGTCATGGGCTAAAAATCTTCCAAATTAAATATTTTATACTCCCTTTAATTGAGCTACAAAAATGTTACTTACGTTTGGGTTGAGTCTATGAAAAGCGACAAGTTCTACCGGCAAATTGTCTTCCTTCGGTACTAGGCGAATAGGTGACTGTATGTTTGAGACTAGATCGCAAAGCAATCTTCTCATCCAAGCGATTGTGGCGTCGCTCTCGATCTTTCAGGCCGAATAATAAAAAAATTAAGCATAACTCTAGACGAAATCAAATATTTGTCTAGCAAAACTAGTGAAAATATAATAAGTTTAATAAATGAATAATCCACACAATTATTTGTAAGCAGGACATGAAATCCAGATTTGTGCACCTGATGAGAAGGTGGATTCTTGAGCCAAGTCTTGGAAGGATGATTACTGTGCCACATAGTCAAACCGCGAAGGGTGGCTCGAATGAGCCAGGGCTCTGGAAGCAATTTTGGCACTGTATTGAAGGACCAAGACTCCAGGAATATTCCTTCCTCATCCGTCTGAAAGGTAATAGGAAGCCGAATCGTCTTATCTGGTAGAACAGCTCCTAAGTGCGAAAATAAAAAAATGATGTTATAATCAGATGGTCATGAATATAATATGGAAGGATGTTAATACAATAGATGGTTTTATGTGAAGTGCTATATGGAATGAATAGGCAATAAACAGAAAAGAATCTGCTCCGTCAATTAATTGTGCTATGTTAATCTTCATGAAATTATATTTTTCATATCAGTTGTACGAAAGTTTCAACCATGCTTAGGTATCACATTCATCCTTGAGTGTATACATTTCGAGACAAAAACGTTACTCCTATATGATATAGTTATAGAGAAAGCCTGCTTGATTCTCCAATTACTTTAGCTAGGTTGTATCACTAGTATATTTTAACTTGCAAAGAAATTGTACACTACTGAAATTACTTAAGTAGCAATTTTTCCCATGTGGAAGTGGTAAAATTGAATGATCAATGAAGCTTGTTAATGATGATGCACAAAACGCTATAAAATAGCAGTCTGAAGATCTCAGTGTAATGCTCATAAGCGGCCAAAAGTTTGCCGTTTATGCTGTAAATGAATTAAAATAAAAGAAAATGATGGGCTAAGAAAAAGATAAGCAAAAATACCAGTTCAATCAATGGGCTGAATTAAAAGCGATATCATCATACTTCACACTTTCAGTAATATGAATAAGGGTACTATAGAAAAAAGCTGAGTCGCCTGACATTGTTTCACAAGGTAGAAATTTGCGCAAAAAACTTCGTTATAATTGTTTTGCTATCGCTGACCCCAACATGTTTTGACGATTATCTAATAATTAGACCTTTTACTTTTGCTATTATGAAAAGATAGTGTAAACAGAAGATTAATAATGGAACAGCTTACCTGGCCGATGGTCGAAGTAGAATCGCTGCTTTGAAGGTCTATTAAGCTCAAACGGATTCCTATCTGGAAGTTTCTAATTGTAAAAATGTTATTATTTTATAGATCGCATGCAATAATAGTTATCAGAAAATCGCAATTTTAAGTAAGTCCCCATCTCACCTGCCAGGAGTAGGATATAATTGAAGGCCCTACATTACGAAATTCAATGTATTTGATGCATTTCTTTTCATCTTGACTCTAAAATCAAACAGTAAAATGGTACCACATCAAAATAGTGATTAAAAAAGTCACTAAAAGTAGAAAGTATAAAATTCGGTTTGCATTTTAAGTGCGGCTAATCAGGATATAGCTCTTAAATAGTGTATCACAAATGTCAGTAACTCACCTAAAACCCAATAAATTTTACATTCCTAACCTTTTATTTCCCAAAATAGCCTTCTGTACATTCAGCTCTCTAAAATTTTCAAAAATGGTCATCAGTCCAAAGATCCGACTCTAGCTCTTGATTTGTGCAGCCTTTGCAGGATACTCCTTATGATAAAATCATAGACTACAAATAATATGAAGTAAGAGCAATCATAGAGCTGATCGTCTTGAAAGACGTGTGTAGATTTGTACAATCTCGGACTGATAGCTTAACAGTTGCATTTAGGATATCTGAGCACTCTACTGTAACTATGATAAAGTTCACATCAATTTAAAAGACGCAAGTATACTATGCATGTCAAGACCTGTCATATAGGATACATCAAAATGTCAGCTTAGGCAACAGATATTACGTCTATAAGAACTTTATGAAAATCCTTTTGTTACTTAGTTTCCAAGTGTTGTGATAATCCGAAACATAGTAGTCTTTTGGTTGTATCTTTGCCATAGGAGGCATGTATATTGCTTAACTACGGTCCGAAGATAGGCACACCCTTTATTTATCCCAGTTTGCAAACATGCTTTAAACAGCCAGAACACTAATGACTATCTACTGCTGCTGCTTGCCCGATGAGGAGAGAGACAAACATGCCTCGTAAAGTGGTACTTCCTGTTACGCGAAAAGACACATTCACTTATAAAACCTCCTCCGCTGTAGTCGCTAGTGAAGATCAGCCCCAATTTTTCCCGAATGACGTTTCTCTAGGTGTCATTTTTACTATTCATTTTCTCATATTACAAGTGCCAATTGACACCTATTCATATAAATTTGTGTTGGAACCAACACACAACGCCAGCTCCTTTGTTAACCAATCTATAAATTCATCGTTTTGACTGTCCTACAACTCCTGCTTGATTAATTGTAAGGTTGTCTCCACCCCTTAATCTGTTGTTAGGACTATTTTATCACTAATATCTGCTTAGGCTATTGAATTGAAGAGGCACTTTCTTGGTCCACGATGCAGATTTATGTACTTTGATAGGAAAAGCTTCTGCCTCTGTCACTAGGGGCCGGAAATAATACCCAGAATGCTGTCTGTTGTAAGCATAGATTATATTTAAAATTATGAAAAAATTTCGTTTTTTGTGTAGAAGCATTTTTCACTGAGGGCAGGCTTAGTTAATGTGGAGAGTTCTTGGAAGCGTTACTCAGGTTTTCGATTATCTTTAATAGTGCAGTATAATGTCGATAGAGGCACGTGTTTTGCTCTTGCTTTTTGTCCAATTGAATCTATTGTGGATGAATTTACAAGTTTATTCGGTTTAAAAATAATGCTGTTTTAAATTTTTAAAAGCCCTTATGAATGTATTTGAAAATGTGGGTCTGACGGCCACATGCTTAGACTGCGTTGTGCATAAAATGCTTATACCTACTTCTAGCCTCAGCTCGATTCTTCAAAGCATTCATCAACAAAGAATTATGGAAATCAATTCGAGTTAGTACTTAGTCTAAGAATAACAAATGTTGAAAGCAACTACTTTATTCTAATAGGTGGGGGTGCACTAAAGCTTTTTTCATCAGATGAGTGAGAAACAGTTAATAGGGGAAAATTTTACACTTAAAGTCGTCTTTCCGTGAATAGATATTGAAAACATTTCGGCATCAATAAAGCGGCAAGTAGTTTAAAATTCCTTAATTCATCTCTCCCTTGGCGAATTCCTCATATCGCGTAATTTTCTATTTAATTCAATTAACCCTATATGTAATCCAAATTATTCTGCAACCCTTTGGAATATTGTACATTCTGACTAAAGCAATACGATTTTGGTAAAAAACGGACTATCGCAATTCCAAATATGACTCAGCCGAGATTGTCACTAAAAACGTAAATCAAACTTTTTGTAGAATAAAATATGTAATTGTGTAATAGCATCAGTGTATTGGCCACGAAAATAAAATGTATTTTATAACTTTGATTAGGATTTATACTTAAAGATGGTCCTATGATGTGTCACCAATATCCTTCAAGATTGCTCCTTAATACGCCGTCACTAGCAGACTGAAATTGCATGCTAATTATAGGGTTTGACAATGGTCATTGACGAAGATTGGCTTTGGTTGGGCTCCTTCCAAGGAAACGCTTTTTTCGTAATAGCAGCGTAAAGTGGCCAAATTCCTAAAGGGAATCTGACTTCTTCCGAGGCTAGAATGGCGATAGTTAATATTGGACCTTTTTGCCGTTCTATAAATGTAATTGAATTGCGGTTTAAATAGCGATTTTCCGAAAGCAGCCCCTCCTGCATAAATTTTATCAAGCCACTAGTTGAATCTCCTTAAAATCCGAAATAATAATGCTTTAAATCCTGAGGTCGTGCATGTTTCATGAGATCTTTAAGGCAAACTACTGCATCATCAAAATATATTTCCATTTCTTCAAAGCTCACTGTAGGCTAGGGTAAATACCGGAATTATATAGATACCGCTTATAAATGTATCAAAAATTAAAATTTCAATATTTTTATTAATATCAAAGGCTTTTACGCCAAGAAAATCAATAATCCGACTTAGCTTGGAGGTGCAACATCGGAAATTTAGGAACATGTGCAATCTGAAAGTTACGCATAATGCTAAGATAAACATTCATTTGAAGAGGTACACTACAAGCAAGCTAAGCATGTCTACTTTAGGTAATATACCATACAAAGCCTGGCTATAAATTCAAATGAAGCCAAACACTATATAGGTTACCGGAGTATTTGCAATTAATAGTAGTTCTTTGCTTATTTTAACTGACCGGGATAAGTTTTCTGATAAAAAAACCTAGCAGAAATGTAATTGGTGTTGGTTTGACCTCGTTTTCGCATCTTGATTAGAGCACCAGGGAGACCTTGTAGAACGTACCTAGTCATTCGCCCTCTGCCGAACTATTCGTGGGAATAAACTAAGTCAATGGTCCTATGCTGAAAATCACAAATACTATGACAAAGTAGGCATGACTAGGTGCGTTTCACAAGGTCGGATAAAGTCAAACCATCACTATAAAGATAAAAGAGATTGCGGCCAAACAGAAGGCCACACCAACCAAAAACATGCTTTCCTATATTCAAGTTTAAAATCTCGAAGCAAAGAGCTTTCATAATTAAAACGCAAATGAAGCCATCATATAACACTGGATAAATGATGCAACCTCGGCTGACATTTCCTAGATACGAAGAGAAACTTGGTTTCGATGAGATAACATTGTTAAGGGGACCTTCATTTCGGTGACTCAATTTGTCTGCTCAGTGATGGTTCTAACTTCACTCACATTCGTCCAACATGTTAGAGTAAGCTCA